ATGTACATTACTTTGTAGTGCTTCCGATACTTCGATTTTGTCTAGGGAAGGGAACGAAATCAATGGATAGGAACATCGGAAACCAATGAAGCTATCACCAGAAAGCAGAGTTCCTTCTAAGGCAGATATACCAGCAAACCGATAGATATTTTGATTTTAAATTCTTCAGATTGTTGTTGTGTAGAAATGTGCATGGTATACCTACTAGTTTTCTTGAAGTAAACGTCATTGTTTATAATAATTTTGCAAATGCCCACGATTTGTTTTTAGGGTATTAGTTGTTCTTTATAGAGAAATTGATTCGGGGAAAATATATGTAAATGTAAGCTTACTAATACAACTATAATTGACACTTGATATAAGATTTGATCAAATATTTGTATAATAAGTATAATTATCGCAACCCCTATTTCTAAATCACACCCCTTTTTCCTCTTTCACAGTCTCGTTGTTGGTTCAATTGGTTTAATTGCACAATTAAGCTCATGCTTCACATCGTTAGTGGTCTGCAACATAATATTAAAGTGGTTCAATGTACAAGATGTGGGGTAGGTAGCGGAAACTGTCGCAAGATATTTCTGTAATATGTTACAAAATATGAAAAAGGAACGTTTCATGTTAATAATAACAAAGTCTGGAGGCGAGAGTCTAAAAACTTACCGGTTTGTCGTCTCCCGTAGAGTTATGATCTTTCAACGTTTCAGCGCCTTTTCCGGAAGAGCAAATGGTATTTTATTTTGCAAAAAATTCGTATATTAACAAAGTTGCGGAACGCTACTGCATACGTACACAGCATTCATTTTCTGGGTAAATTTCTTCAATTTCAAAAATAGAGCGTTGTAGTAGAGATGGATACATTCTGATTAGTAAGTGACAATGTCTCCCTCGACTTCGTTTTTAAATGGTCACCTTGGTGGAATGTTGAGTAATTTACTTGCTGCTGTGCAATGGTCTCATTGAATAATATGTCTGCCATTTTAGTCTCCCATTAATTAGTAGGTAGGTATCTACATACGAAGTTCGTTCTGGTCACGCATGTTACAATTGCGGAATCTCCTTTGTTGGCTTTGTTGAAATGGAGGAACTATTTTTAGAATGTGAAATTATTTTAGAACTTCACATACAAACACATTAAAATTCATTTGCGTGTATATGTTGATACTCTCCAGGTATGTCGTGCTATCTGATTAAGATTAGTTTGAATAATATGTGCGTATGGCACGAAAGGAAGAATTTTACATGTAGGTACAAGATATCACTTGTTCGACAATTCCCTTGCCACTGAACGTTATCCTCGAGCACTCACACTATGTAACATCTAAACCTTCGGCTTCATTGCTGTTTCAAATTTATCAAAGGAGTGTTGTGATACGATCATAATGGAAACACATAGATATACATTTTACAACGCCTGTATTTGATGCCTATAGTAGGCTTGGGGACTCTGTGCTGAAGAATCCTATCGCTAGCGTATATACTGTAATTTATCCACATTGCAACTTCTCTATATAAACATTGGAACAAATTCAATAGAGTGCAGGTTTTGTGTTCATGTAGATAAAACTTGTATGGTATAATCGCTTGGAACGTTCTCCTTCTCATGGTCTTTTTATTTGCATAGTGGATATACCTATCGCCCAGACGACCATCTAACTTAAAATCCATTAAAAAGCAATTAGTATGATCAGTACTAGGTACATATTTGACCATAAGGCAGCAACTTTACTTATTTTACAGTTAATAAACATGTTGTGGAGTTGACGAAATATGTCAGTGTGTGACTTCAGGGTTTCGTTGCGAGGCTTTTCGATTATATTCCGGAAACGGTGGGCTCTAGAAAAATATGTTCTATCTATAGCACACGCATTATAGTAACACAATGACATAAAAAATAAACTATAAAAGTTTTACAGTTTGTGGTATAATTTTGGTTAAAAATATCGTATCCAGGTCTGAGCGGTTTTTAGCGTAACACAATGAAGTTGAGGTAACGCTTATGTGCTCGTGTTTCCGTCTGTCCGTCCGTCCGTCCGTCCGTCCGTCAGTTCCATCGAGATCTCGGCCCCTGGGACACCTAGAGACTTCGGGTTTTCGCTAATTGATAGCTGCTATGGTCTATATTTGCCCATTTCAGACAGTTTTATTGCACTCTCTATTTTGCACAGACTGCGCATTGCCAACTTTCTTATTTATGGAGATATTACTTTGAAATTTTAACCACAGATGCTTCTAGTAAAAGCAAACATTTCACACATAGTAAAACTTATGTAGACGTGCGCAGTGACTGCGCAATGCGAACTTTCCTATTTACTGAGATTTTTCTTTGAAATTTTAACCACAGATGCTTCTAGTAAAGGCAAACATTGCGCACATACTAAAAATTATGTGTGCGCATGCCCAGTCCCTGCGGAATGGGACTGCGCAATGCCAACTTTCCTATTTATGGAGATATTTCTTTGAAATTGGAACCACAGATGCTTCTAGTAAGGGCAAACATTGCGCACATACTAAAAATTATGTGTGCGCATGCGCAGTCCCTGTGCAATGCCAACTTTGCTATTTATGGAGATATTTCTTTGAAATTGGAACCACAGATGCTTCTAGTAAAGGCAAACATTTCACACATAGTAAAAATTATGTAGACATGCGCAGTGACTGCGCAATGCGAACTTTCCTATTTACTGAGATATTTCTTTGAAATTTGAACCACTGATGCTCCTAGTAAAGGCAACAACTTGTTGATTGCAGCGTTATCGGAGATCGGGGATTTCATTGAGGCAACTGAAGACGTCTTGATTATGGGAGACTTTAATTTCCCATTAACTGTCGGAAATCGGGTAGAGAAATTTCTTCAAGAGAAATTCAATATAGTGATTATCTCTCCCCGAACAGTGACAACGAATGGCGGAACAATAATTGACGGAGTTTTTGGCAAAATGGTCAACTACACTGTTGATTGTTCGGTTTACGAGTCGTACTGTTCATACCATCGTCCAATTATTATTAGAGTTCGTGAAAATTAATAAAGAAATATATGTTTGCATAAACCTTATTTTATAATTAAAATTTTCTGATAAAATACTGATTGCTAATGCAATACTGATCCGTCACGCCAAAAATGCGCTGAAGTCTCATCGATGCACATACGAGGACTTTTGTAATTTTTTAAATCACCAACACTGGTCCCATGACGACTGACATTGTTATATTGACAGCTCGAATATAAACTTTAATTTTAACGACGACACAACTTTCAAATTGAAAAATTGCCTAATCTATAACTTGAAATTAATTGCGTAAACACCAATTTTGGACAACAACCGGAAACTACTCCTGTATCACTTCTTTTTAATTTATCTGACAGACAAGACTTCGAAACACCGGCTGACTACCGAAAAAATGCGTATTTGACTTTACACGCAACTGACTGTTACGCACCCCAAGGCAAATTTTAAATCTCGACCATCTCCATCACGATTTTTCATCTTCGGTAAGGGCCGTCAAAAGGCAAGCACTTGCTTATATACAACATTATCAATTAAATTTTACTTTGATAAAGTCCCCTTATAAAACATTTGCTAAATAATTCTCAAATAGACGCAATAATGGGACGAAAGTGCACCTAGACCTAGAGAATGATCCGACCGGATGCAGTCTGTAGTTGTGGGGCTTTGATCTCGAAAACCCTCCAGTCGGTTGAGTCATGGACGTCTACAAAAAAGCAAAATTTCAAAATGAAGTATTACGCAACCAAATCGTTTGTGTGTTTGACAAAGTCATGGCGGGCGTACAGCCTGTTTCAGAAGATTTTTTGGAACGCATTGAAGAACTTTGGTTTTTTTATTATTATTGGGGTAGGATTTTCGAGAACGACCCCTAAACAAAACGGAAAAGTAACACACTCCGCAATCTTCTCGGTTCAAGGAAGCTCGTGGTTCCTTCTACGTGGAAGATTATAGCGAATGCAACAATTCGGAACTTCTACCAGCTTCCAGGGTACCAAATGACAAAGAGTGACATCGGAACAATTCCTCCGTTCCATTGCATCCCGACCTTGTTCCGTTTTTCATCTTTGCAATCAAAAAACGCCGCTCTAACTAGACGCCCAAATTTTGGATAACTCGGTAACGATCAACAAAAAAACGCCAAAATGTAACTAGCAAACAACAAGACAAGACAGGGTATTTCGAAAATTCTAAAGTGTAGGGTACTTTAATTGGCGCATTTTTTAAAAAATAATATGCGCTATTTATGCCCATTTTTTCCGTTAGTCCGTGCGATGGACGAGAATCGAGATCTCGGTAACGTGGGTTCCATAGTTCCATTTAACTGTAATCAAGACGAAAGAAGGGTGTCCGCGTGATCTACCATCGACTCCGCATCTTAGCATGTTAGCAGGTCAGAAATTTCATCTGTGATGATGAAATCATCACCGACTGAAGTATGGGTTTAGGTCCCCATCTGCAAGTAGGCATTATAAACAATTTGGAGCAAAAACAAATAGGTACACGTGGACGTCCGGTTCAGTCGTTGTGTTTTATCCCGAGAAAACCAAGAGGGCCGCTACGTTTCAAAATGTAGGTTTTCGAGATAGCAAGCTATTTCACATTTTCGGATTCGGGAACCTTTGATTTTAACACTAATGAGTAAACGGGTTTTTCGTACTAATACAAATAGGAAATTCAATAAAATCGCGAGGGACAAATATTTCTTGTTGCTCTTATAACTACTCCATTTCTCACCAGCAAGGCTGCGATGAGCGTATATACCCAAATTGATATTAGATTTTCCAGATCATGTGTTTGTAAAAATGCGTACGGAAAGTAGTGGATCCGAGAACATTGAGTTTGACATTTGGATTTCCCATGACTTTTGGTGCGATAAAACCAGTTTGTACAAGAAGCTTATATATAACCTTGGTAACAAATATCATTGTGTTTATATATGTATAAACGTTTATAAATACAATGCTATAATATCTGTGACGAAGAGATAACGCATCTTTCTGTGCGAAATAATAGGGGATTTCTAACATTAATTCCTAAAACAAACATTACCACTTCTCTCGTACTTCTATCAAGGAATTCCACTGGCCTCGCATCTACATCACAAACGTTTTCTATATAGGTAGGTAGACATCGAAGACAATCGGCGGTTGATTTGTAAACCATGAAATTGATACTTTTTTTGGTCTTTCCTTGCCTACTTGTTAGCGGTGACCAACAAAATGGAACAAAGAGTAAAGATGAAGAATTACCAATGGCGAGTTTCATAAGTTCGAATGTGGATGGATTTGTGCAAGAATCAACTAATTCAACAAGCTCCGATAATTTAGCTACAAATTGTGATTGTAAGTGTAAAAGTGATGAAAATACGATTGATATACAGTAAGTTTGCAATACTGCCGCTCGATCAAGTAATAATACTATTTTTAATAGTGGAACCGACTATTGTATCGACGATTTTTGTTGCACTTCAAAATCCATTAAAAGAGAAGTCGGATGTGGAAGAAGACGACAAGGAAGTGCTACTGTGCATGTGAATGAGGCATCAATGGGAGAATTCCCATGGATGGTTGCCATGCTACGCGAGAAGGATGCGGCCGGTGAAATAAGCGAAACTCTCCACTGTGGAGCTTCCCTTATACATCCCCAAGTTGTCTTAACAGCCGCCCATTGTGTGCATAACAAAAATGATTCGTATAAAATTCGTGCCGGGGAATGGGACATCAGCGGCACTAATGAATTATATCCTCATCAAGATAGAGAAATCAAGGAAACCATTGTTCATCCCCGTTACCACAGCGGTACACTTTTTTATGATGTTGCGTTGTTGGTACTCGAGTCGCCAGTGCAACTCACAGAAAACGTAGACGTCGTTTGTCTACCCGATAAAAGTACGGTGGTATCGAGCAATCTATTTTGTTACGGCACAGGGTGGGGACGTAAAGTATTTACAGAAGAAAAGACTAACAGCACCATATTAAAGAAAGTTGAGTTGGCCGTCGTCGATCGAGAGGCATGCTTAAAACGCCTTAAATCAACTCGTTTGGGATCCCATTTCAAACTACATGAAACGTTCATCTGCGCTGGTGGCGAGATTGGTTTAGACTTGTGCAAAGGGGATGGAGGTGGTCCATTAGTCTGTCCGGTTCCTGACGAAGACGGGCGGTTCTATCAAGCTGGAATTGTGGCCTGGGGCATTAACTGCGGCGAAGACATTCCTGGAGCTTACGTTGACATCGTTAAGGTCATCGATTGGATTGACGATATAATGATTTCTCAACATTTTGATACCACTATTTATCACTATTAGCGTTCGTGTATAATTTATGAATAAACTACCATAACATTTACATGACCACCCGAAGTAGATGAACTTTTCCCAAATAGTATCAACAGCAAAGTCGACCTGTCTAACAACACTAAATACTGTTATTAGTTGTTCCCTTTAAAATCAAGTGTTTTAACAGTCCGTAAAATTGCACCATTGTGGTGCTTCTAAATTGTTACCTTGATGTTCTATAAAATTAAGAATATTGCCAAACAAAATTCGGAAATTCATATGCATTATTCAGTACCTACCTACCTACGAGTATATTAAAGTTATTTTAATCTTTACACACAATAAATGTATTCCGACAGACCGACCTCGCAAACGCAAATGTAGAGGTACTTTTTACTGGTAAGTAAATAAATAAATATTCGCAAATTTGAATTAATCAAGCTCTTAACGGAAATGATTTTAAGATGCCGAAAACTTACATTAATGGATATTTTCTACTACTTTACTTTTGAATTCAGTTGATCACTGATTTTGAAAGCCATCCAGCTTAGGGTAGATCTTTCTACATTTGGGTAGTAGCATCTCCAATTTATGATTAATTATTATCAAAATGTGTAATTAACTGATCGTTATGTCGTTTAAGATAACCTATCTTAATGTACCAGTCATTTCGAAAAACCATGCAACATGAAAGTTCAAAACTAAACTTTCTGGTCTCCATAGCACGTGATCATCAAAAGTACCTAACTAACGGAAATACATTTGTAGGACGTTACAAGATATGCGGTGTGATGAACATTGAACATTAAACTCGTTGCGCGTGCTTTAAAGACTTGATTATACACTTGTATCTTAATATACTAGTGAGGAATAGTTAGCCAAAATCCTTTACTCCACCATAAGAGGTTGTTCAAAAGATGGTCCTGGTTCCACTTCCAAAACAACAAAAACCCGTATGATGTGAAAATTCTACCAGACTTCGGGAAAATAACAGGAATTAAACTAAATTTATAATATGGTTTATGAATTGCTCCATCTTGAAAGTTCGGTGGGGTTATAATTATGGGAAGAAATATCTTTCGAACTAACGTTTATTATAAAGAATGTTTTCTATGGCGGTCGATTGAAATCGATAGAAAACATTCTTTATAATAAACGTTAGTTCGAAAGATACTTTTTCCTATAATTATAAATTTATAATCCTATTACTTTCCCGGTGAGATTGCCTGAATAAGCTTACCTACGGCTAATTTTATGGATACTTACAAACCACGAGCCACGAACATGTGCGTCCCTCCTCCTCTGCGTATCTGGAGTGGCCCGAATAGATCTATCGATACTAACTCCAGGGGTTCTTCCGCTACCAGGTTCTTCATAGTTCCTTATAATATAACCCTCGGTTTGTACATTTTTCTGACACTAGTCACACGTACTTACTCAATATACTTGCACAAGTCTTCCAATATTTGGAATTAATGTAGCAAGTTTCACTGATGATGGAAGTACCAGTGGCGTAACTTCATTTTAGAGGCCCGTCTTCAGAAACATTTGAGGGCCCTTTCCTTATATCAGCAATTTTTAAACGATTTTAATGTGTACATGTAGAAAATAGTGTCTTGATTTAGCTTTGCTGATTTTGCATTTTGTAATTCATTGGTTCACAAATCACAGGTCCATTGTAAAATTTAGGGTCACTGCGTTCAGTCAGAATCCAGTTGATTTTGTTCGAACTTTAATTGTCAAGCTTTGTGTAGTATTTGTGCCATAACAAAAGGTAATAATGTACTTAATTTTATTTGATTTCAGCTATTTGTAACTAGGGGTAGGTAACCCCTGAATTTGTTTGTTATTTAATTGTTTCACTTTAAATGTTATCCTTATTTTGATTTGTTTAATATTGGCCATTTCCTTCGATGCTTAAACGTTTGATTAGCGACTTCAATTCGTTGTGTATGAATCTACCTTTTTTACTCGATCTGGTAGTGTTAAAATTACTTAGCGGCATTCATCTCGAAATACAACTTCAGTAAGCTTACTATATCCAGGAACTCCAGATACCTTTTGGATTGGAGAAGTTCCCGCTAATTAACAAAGTATTTCATGTAGGTACTTTATGTAAGAGACTTCGGACTGTTATTTGGAAAGGAGATTGTTCACCTATATTTACCCTCCGTGAACAATGATTCAGAATTTTCTTCGGACTGTAACTATAAACTGTAAAAGGAAGCATGTGCATGACCCTTCGTTTTTTTTCAATTTTTTCCCAGAATTTTTTATAAACGAATTAAATGTTTTGTACATTTCTTGCCGGGGCCCCTTTTAAGTCGGGGCCCGTCTTCATTGCGTACCTTTGAGGCATTGTAGTTACGCCACTGGGAAGTACATTTCTTTGTTCCAAAATGGCCGCATTGCTCGTGGCATTTCCATATAATCTTACTTCTCAGATCGACTGGTATGCAGATCAGTGTCTAGCTCCTGCTTCCTGGTTAAATTCTTCAGTAGTTGAATGAGATTATTCGTTCTTTTGTCAAGTTTGGTCACTATGAGAGCCATTCTTCGGTCACTTCCATCATACGTGTAGCTTGATAAAGAAATCGGCAGCAGCTTTTGCTTTTCGTTTACGGTACTCGATCCTCGAGTCATATTCTTGTACCACCTCATTGGAAGGGCACTCAGAGCCTTGCACGAAAATAAAAACTCCAACGTTTTTATCCCATAAATGTACGTGCGAAATTTCTTGCAAGCGAACACAATAGCCAACAGTTCTAATTCGGTTATTTATATTGTGCAGCATTTCTCGGCACTTCAGTAAGTCCTTGCCGGTATGCTGGTTTTTCTGGTGCTTAAATCTTTCTTCTTTTTCCATTTCTTCACTTTGTACTTGTTCTTGTCCCCCCGGTTCTCTTCCAACCAAATTTTCCTTTCTCTCCTTTTTTCGTTTCTTCGTTTTCTATTTTGGTAGTAATAACACGTTCTTCGGTTGGTTTCAACAGCACGGTGTAGGCTTTTATGTGTCAAATAGCTAAGAAACAATTGGGAGTTTTAGCACTATTTGTGCCAATTTTTGTGTGTGTGGTAATTCACTTGAGTTGATGAGTACGGGGAAAGTCAAATTACGAGTGTGATTTATTTCTAAACTCATGGATCCATTAACAGTTGTCTTTAATTGCCATATAATTATACTATTTATCTAAACAAAGTCGTTATAATTTATTCCAGTTCTTTTCAAACCGACTTCTTTTACTAACCTTGACAAATTTGATTCATGTTATTACACATTGCACTAAACTATCTAAATTTCACAGAAAGTACGAATTTGTTGGTATTTCCATATCTCCTCGAGGTCAGACATATGTGCCTTCGTGTACAGTTGCTAGCTGTAGCTTCATAGTGAAAAGATGTGGTTTATGTGTTTATTAATATTATTCCTCATTAGCGGGCTTGATACTTCCGAGAGCAGTGATAGTAGTGAAATCATATTTCTAGAAAATGAAAACGATAAAATGTTTATACGGTCTGCAGATTGTGTGTGTGTGCCATATTTTAAGTGTAAAGAAGTCGTCGAAGATGGTGTTGGAGTCATTAATATACGGTAACATTTCTTTATTAGTAACTCATTAGAAGCATTTGTAAATGTTACAGTACTGCCAATCCGTGCAACACCTTAGAGGTTTGTTGTGGTGCTGGGAACACGACAACCGAATCTATTATTCCTAAAACAAGATGGACCGGGCAGAGACCCTGCGGTATAAGGAACAAAGAAGGCTTTGGCTTGCGTATTACAGGCATTGAAGATAATGAAACCCAGTTTGGAGAATTTCCGTGGATGGTTGCTTTGTTTCGAACGTCTACAAATAAAAGAACAATGGAGAAGACAGAAACGTACCATTGTGGAGCTTCCCTAATTCATCCTCAAGTAGTTTTAACAGCCGCTCACTGTGTTTCCGATAAAGCATACAAATATCGAATTAGAGCGGGTGAATGGGATACCCATACCACTAACGAGCTGTTCCCGCACCAAGAGCGCGAAGTTAAGGAAACAATTATTCACCCACAATATTACAAAGGAGGATTCTTTTACGATTTTGCTTTGCTGATACTTGACTCCCCTCTTGAGATATCTGAAAATGTAGATGTCGTTTGTTTACCTGACAAAACTATGATACCACAGCAGGTGTTTTGTTCTGCCACGGGGTGGGGTCAAGAAGTGTTTTCAGAGGAGGGAAAGAATCCGGCCATATTAAAGAAAATCGATTTACCCATAGTTGATAGAGATAATTGTCAAAAACGGCTTCGTAATACTCGCCTGGGTGCCCAATTTAAGCTGCACGAGACGTTTATATGTGCAGGTGGTGAATTAGGTAAGGGCGCGTGCAAAGGAGATGGAGGAAGTCCTCTCGTTTGTCCAGTAGATGACGAAACAGATAGATTTTATCAGGCTGGAATTGTTGCATGGGGTATAGATTGCGGAAAAGAAGATGTTCCTGGTGCGTATGCTGATGTAGCAAAGGCGATGGACTGGATTGATGATGTCATGACTCGTCATACATTTGATAGGTCTATTTATCGTTATGGAAAATGAACTACGTCAATCGTAATGCCTTAAACTTATCTTTTCGGTTAGTAAATCAAAAACTTTATTTATTTCTTCACCGCGATTGACTCATGTGAAACGCACGAATGCATGTACTCGTATAATGGATCCTTTTACAGATTTGCTTTGCAGTATGACACAAATGTAATTTTACATTCTCGATGCTGTATATGGTCTCTAGTCTGAATAAAAAACTCACAAAAGGTGCAATTTTGATTTAATTGCTCATTAATTGCATTGATATGCTGATAAAAGAATGTTCAATACATTGGCGATAAAGTAAAACAGATAGCTATTAGGCTATTACCATTCCAAAAAAAAGCATAGAGTGCGAGTTGTTTAGAATTCTAGTTCATTAAAAAAAATTCTATACAACTGAATACCGAACTATCCTCGAGATCGTTTTGACCTGATAGTCTATAATATACCTTTTTCGTCGACCTCTCGATAACAACATAAATTACACCTTAGTTACAGGTGTAACAATGAAGCTCATTAATGGTTAGAAACCATTATACGTCAGCAACCATTAATCGTTAGCAACCACTTATATATAACCATTATGCATTAGCAATCATTAATCGTTAGCAACACCTTATACATAACAACTATTTTATTAAAGGGAATGACATTTATATAACAATTCACTTTCGGCATCAGCTGAGAACTTCCATCCACCTAACCATTTTAATCTCGCTTTTAATGTAGTGAGATCAGTAGCCAGTATGGTCGCCAACGCTCTCAGCACAGCATATCCTGATGTGTAGCTTCTCGGATAAGGTATTGTTAAGGTATTCAGTTACTTATTTACCTTCAACATTGAGTACGTCGACCACAGGGATGAATATTTCCATATCTTTCACTGTTAATACACGTACTTTAGTACAGTTGCAAAAGAATTAATTACATTATAATTTCACATACCTTTTCAAGGTAAAATGTCAACATGACATTTTCGAAAATATCTCCTCTCAAATTCATTGTATTCCATCAATTGCCGAACTGATCGAAACCGTTCCAATAAGTTTCTTTTGATTTGAGCGGATGTACTGTTAAAATCGCCTCCACAGCAGAGCAAGCAACATAATCTTTCACTGAGATTACGAGGACTGACGGTACAGCATAAAACAACACATTACTATAGCAACGACAATAGCTGTAATTTAGTGAAAAATCGTCGAAGCTCATAATTTCGATTGTAATTTCTTGTAGTTGAATTTAAAATTATCTACCCCAGTGAAGTCGACGAAAAAACGTTGTATGCAATTCATGTATAAATCGGCGATTATTGGTTCGTTCGAATTAAGTCTAAGACTAAACATCTCACTCACCAATAAAACGCCTCATTTATACACTCATTGCATAAATAACTATTATTGATATCCTTAGTAACATGTGCACCAATTTTCAAAAACGATCGGACATTTCTAAACAAACACGGACAGACAGACCGACCGATATCACTCCCTATCTTAACTACCGATGTTTGGCCCATATAGTTAAAACATACGATGCCACGCGTTGTTGGAAAAAAGTTGATAGTGAAAACCTCCAATTTACCGCCGACCACTTGGGTAGGTTGCAAAACTGTTTCTTAACCTCAGTAATAAAAAATAGGGAGGCACTCCAAATTCGATTTTGGGATTCTGTAGTGCAAAATTGATCAATAACTATAGGATATTTTTTATTGAATAGTTTATATGAGGGCACAAGATCTGTACCGTGTATCTTATTTTGGTTGAGACTGTGCAGTTCTCAGCTGTTTTTAAAGATAGAGATTTGCGGTTTTCGGGACTCTTAATACCACAAACAGAATCAATCTAGCTACGTTTGTTTGTGAGATACAGGGTAAACACGAAAAGTTTGACTTTGGGATGCTATCGTATCCTACTACCCATGTAAGGTAGAAAAAAAGTTAATAACTGCCTAATTTAGATATTTTCAGTTAGAATTCAGTAGCGTAGTCAAAAAAATTTAACCACCTTTTCTGAGATTTGACCCAAAGTTATTTTTTTAAATGCCACACCCTGTATATCTTAACGTCAATTTTTTGAATTTTTTTTTCTGGTTACATTGATGAATCACATAAAATAAATAGTCATGAACCAAAAAGAAAAACTTTATTTTTTACGGTTTAATTAATTTTGAGCAAAGTTGTAAATAGGATTCTTGTATCTTGTAAAATTCTGCGTCTGCTCATGTCCTCATTTATGATTTTTCAAGTCTGGAAAAAATTAAATAGATTAGAATTTAGCATTTGCGTAAAAATCAAAATGTTGTGTCAATAATTTCACGGCATGATTGATTTTTCCTAAAATGCTAATTTATAGTATCCTTAATTTCTCCTATTTCCCACAACAAAAAATTACAAATGGGCACATGAACAGACGCAGAATCTTTCATTCTACAAAAAATTTATTTCCGACTTTGCTGTAAAGTGATTAGGGGAGAAAATATTTCAGTATAAAGAAATTTCCATTGAAATTCCTTACGTATACCAATTCTACACCCTGCATAAAAAAATATAGGTTGTGATACATCAATGTAATCAGGAAAAGAATGCAAAAAATTCTTCCTAAAAATATCAAAAATTTTTTTAAAAAAATGCATTATTGTAGCCACTTCTTCCATCCGTACGTTCGACTTTCCCTGCGGGATGACTATCAGATCTCTATTTTAAGAGCATTGTCCTAATTTTATCGTGATTTGGTTCGTTATGGTGTCTAGGATTGCACAAAGGAAGGATTTTTGTGTGTCATTTACTAAAAAAGTTACATGTAGCAAAATGTATACAGGGTCGCTGATAAGTCTGGAAACGGTCGATTATCGAGGAAAATATACAAGATATCGAAATATCTTTTATACAAAAGTTTTGAGATTCTTCAATGTCTACTAGATACCTAGTAATAATTTTAATTATACAGGATGGCTCAAAAGGCGCGGCACACCAGAATTGCATTTTTTAAATGGAACATCCTGTATATTATTTAATATATATATTTCAATTCTTCTCCCAATTTTCTTCAAATGCCCAAAATTATATTTTTAGCGCATTTCCACAAAAATAAAAAAAATGCGCTATTGTGGCCACTTTGTCCGTCCGTCCGTCCGTCCGTCCGCTCGTTTTGAGACGCTACTAGTTTTTTATCTTAAGAGGTATTGTTCTACTTTTTTCGCTATTTGGTTCCTTATGGTGTCGAGTCTTGCACCAAGGAAGGAATTTTGTCTGTACCGCTTACAAAAAACCGTTTTTTACATGTTCCATAATTTTACACTTTTGCCGTTTATTAACGATCCTAGAGATCGTTTATAATTTTGAATTGCTGTCTGTCGTCTGCCTGTTGGTCTGTCCGTCTGTTCCTTTGTCTGTCTGTCCCTCTATCTGTCCGTGTGAACGATAACTTTGTTTAGAAATGTCCGATCGCTTTTACATCTCCGTTAGTTATGAACTGAATTGCATGAAATTCAATATGTGCATAGCTTTAGCCATATAATACGCAATGCCAAAAGTTGAGTCGAATCGATTCAAAATTCTCAGTGCCCTTTTCGCATCTCGACCATTTATAAACCGAATTGCAAACTTTTTTAATTATAAAAGTATTTAAATGAAATTTGATACATAGCCACTTGGAATAAAAGAAAATTTAACGCCAATTTCAAAATTTGGTTTTGCGCATGCGCAGTGCAAACTTTCTTATTTATGGAGGGATTTAAATGAAATTCGATACATAGCCACTTGGAACAAAGGAAACTCTAACGTTAGCTTCAAAATTTAGGTTTGCGCATGCGCAGTTCCAACTTTCTTATTTAGAAAAGCATTGAAATGAAACTCTTCTTATAAACAGAAATTGAAGTAGCACGTCAAAAATGGATTGCACATGTGCAGCGCTATCTTTCATATTTGTGGCCGGATTTTTACAATTTTAACAAAAGTTGCATCTTACAAATAGGAAATGAATGCAAGTGGAAATGCGCTTTATGTAAATCGTTTACGATTACTTTTTAACTTGTATTATAAGTCACCATTGCGCTAATTTTAATTCAATTGTTAGCGATCATCAACTTCATTTGTTAAATACGATCCTGGATTTTTTATTTTATATTTTGAAAGAGAAAAAAATATATGGTGGCTATGAGCCAAAGGTATTCATGTCAAATTTATACGAGCACACTTATTAACTATTGAAAATATGAAATTTCTTTGGTTCAGGTAAAGTAGGTAGCGAAAGCGATCTAGCAAGTCCTATATAAGATTGGTAGTGAAATTGAAAGCTGATGATTGATGCAAATAGAATCTTTTTAGCGCATATGTGCTATTGTTTGCGTTTAGTCCGTCCCTCCGGACCCACTTATGCCGTTTCGAACTATTTGTAGGGGAATGGTCCTAGAGTCCTGGAATTTTTTGCAGTAGGTAGCCTATACCTTGAAGGTGTGCCCGACGACCATAAAAATTGGCTGTCTAAAAGCCCCCCCCTCCCCCCGAATTATTTCCTGAGATGCTGTTTTTGAAAGTAAAACGTGCTTTTACTTTTTACATACGACAACCAATTCGTCTCAGATTTTGCATGCCTTTAGTGGTGCCAAGTTAAACTTTAGGGTGTGGGGGGGGGGGGTAAACACAGGTTCTACCCTTTTTCGAGATCAGTGAGCGACGGGGCCTAAGGGGGGGGGGGGGGGGGGAGATTTAAGTTTATCTCTCATGAAACTTGAAACTTGAAACTTTGACATATGCCTGGCTTCGCCGCCTCTCCCAGGATTTAGTCAACTGTCGTGAGGATGCGTCCCTGGTAGGCACTATCAGGGATGTTTCACCACTACTTTGTTGCCATCGCGCTGGGCCGCGACATATGCCAAACAATGTGGTGGAGTTTGTGCATTGGGGGGGTTGTGGGGGGGGGGCGGCTAACTGGGTGTTATCCGACTCGAACAGGTACGGCCACAGCTTCGCCACTGGTGTTCTGCCTTAGAGGGAACTCTGCTTTCTAGTGATAACTTCTTCTCCGGGCGTTCATTTGTTTCCGATGTTCCTACCCTTGTATTCTAATTTACGTGCCATAGCGTATTTTCGCTTGTTAGTTTGCAAGAAAATAAACCTGCGGTGGAAAATGTTTAATTTCCGATGTCCCACTCCGTACCTAACTAGGATTTTTTAAATTTGTAAAACGACAACCTTCGTGGCTCCAAGGCTCCAATCTATTCAACATCAGAGTGCACTGTTTATCTAAGCAAGGTCCACTTCAAATCTTTTGTTTTTCGGATACCATAAAACTAGTATAATTCGTTTATGGTGACTAGATTAAAACGAGTTTTACGATTCTTAGAGCTTATACGTGCACAATGAAATATTCAACCTTGATAAACTCGATATGTGTTAATAGTACCCATCACGATTGCACTGAATGTCTGAACCGTGTAATTTTTAACAATGGAATATTGAAATTAATCGCAAGTACGAAACTGTACTGGTCTTCCGTTATTTCAAGAGTTTCACGAATCGTTCGCTCTTCAGATTAGTGCAAGTTGCTTGTTTGTCGTCGTCTTGATGACCGCACAGCGAAATGATGCAGTTAATGTCATTATTTCGGGTTTTATTTTTCATTTATTTACTTGCTTGCGCGTACAGTGAAAGTGAAGTGGAAGATGTGAAAAAATATGAAGACAAAATAGATGCAATTTTTGTAAAACCTAATGAAGCTGCCTTGGAAATTTCTACGTCGTATAGCGAGTCGGTACCTCTTAGTGCACCTTCACATGAAGATTGCCAGTGCGTGCCATACTTTAATTGCAAAGAAGTCGTGGAAGATGGTGTAGGCGTCATTGACATACGGTAAGATTTATCTAGTAGTCTTTTTTATAAACTTTATGATGGTTACAGTATTGAAAATTCGTGCAACTCCCTGGAACACTGTTGTGGTGCTGCCAATACGACAACCGAGTCTATTATTTCAAAACCAGAACCGCACACACCGGGTCGTTGTGGTAGAAGAAATGGCGATGGTGTCGGTATTCGTATTACGGGAATGGAAGATAATGAGACTCAGTTTGGGGAATTTCCTTGGATGGTAGCCGTGTTGGCAACGAAAAAGCATAAAAAATCCTTGGAGAAAACAGAAACATACCAATGTGGAGCTTCGCTAATTCACCCTCAAGTTGTTTTAACAGCCGCTCATTGCGTTTATGATAAAAAAAATAAGTATGGAATTCGGGCGGGCGAGTGGGATACGCACACCACCTACGAACTATTTCCCCACCAAGATCGAGAAATTAAGGAAATAATCATTCATCCGAAGTACTACAAAGGGGGGTTGTTTTACGATTTTGCGTTATTGATACTCGATTCTCCCCTAGAGATAACCGATAATGTAGACGTCGTTTGTTTACCCGACGAAACTATGGTACCGGGGAAAACGTTTTGTTACGCCACGGGCTGGGGCCGGGAGGTATTTTCAGGGGATGGAAAAAATCCCGCAATATTAAAAAAAGTTGATTTACCCATAGTTGATAGAGACACTTGTCAAAATCGCCTTAGGAGTACGCGACTGGGTTCCCGTTTTAATCTGCATGAGTCATTTATTTGCGCAGGTGGCGAGTTGGGCAAAGACACGTGCAAAGGAGATGGAGGAAGTCCTCTCGTTTGCCCATTAGATGACGAAGAAGATAGATATTATCAAGCTGGAATTGTTGCTTGGGGTATAGATTGCGGAAAAGAACATGTTCCTGGCGTATACGCTCATGTTGCAAAAGCCAAGGGCTGGATTGACGACGTGATGGTCTCTCACAACTTTGATACATCTGTTTATAAATATTAAAAATAAACTACGTTACTCGCAATCGTAATTTGCATACATATTTGCATTCGACACAGTTTTGCATTCCAATTAATCCGGTTTTGCAGACTTTTGCCAATTGACCTGATGCTTCGCCTAAACTAAAGTATGTAATACACCCATGAAACGCGAATTTGCGGAATTATACAACAGTATATCAATTTTATATCAAAAACTAGAATCTTATTTATTTGATTTTTTAATGTTGCGATTCTGCCTCTCTGCTTGATACCTGTCCTGTTTGGTTTTTTCAGAATGCAATTTTCTAAGGTCACTCATCTTGTAGGTCATTGACGTAAAAGAAATGTTACCTGCAAAAACAGAATGATGAGATACCACTACGTATATTATATACAGGTTGAGAAACGGGATTGCTATGTTTTGTTATATTAGCAGATTGGCATAACTTGATTTAATTTAAGAAAAATTAACATTGCCTTACAATCGATATATCTTCCATTAAGTTTTAAAAACTATCTGTACGTCTGTTTGTTCTGTTCGTTAGTCTGAGGATTGAGATCTCGGCGTTCCGAGCTCAAGGTTTTCACGCGTTAGGTGGGTCTCGATTTGAATGTACCTAGCGAAAATTCGAGAGAACAGTTGAGCATAATGTAACAAAAGAGAATATTTAAGCAAACATTAAAGAAGCAAGAAGACAGATTTCGAAAAAATGTTTATTAACATCCAATATGTTGATTTATCATGTCAAAAACCGTGTATATCTTAAAACTGTTTTTCTAGTTTTTGGCGATTTTCTCGAAGTTTTGCTATAGGAATAATATTTTTTTATTTTTGTTTATTAAATTATAAGTCTTCCCGAAAATTGTGCTACCCCGCGCACCTCTGTACGATGAAAAAAAATAGATTTTTCATCCCCTCGAAAAAAAGGTGGTTTTTTAAAAAATCGTGAGATCTTCGAAACGGTTCAACTTTACAGGCCCAAAAAATTATCTTCTTTTTTATCATAAAACAAGCTATATTTCTTCCAAATTTCAAACCCCTACGACATTTTTTCGCAAAAATAAGAATAAAAAACGAAAAAAAAACAGTTTTTCCGGTTTTTCTGGGAAAATTGGAGTTTATGTGAAAATAGTGCAGATACAAAAGTTGCTCATTTTTTTAATCTCTATAACTTTTATATTTATAATATATGATATTTTCGGCTAAAATTAATAGTTTTGCCATAATTTTCAAAATACCACTTTCCACCCCTTTCAACCCCCGTGATTTCACCCGCGGAAAAATTCAGCTGTTTTAATTATTTTTTCCCAATTTCTATTCATTTCACCTGCCTGAAAAACCCTGTTTCGACCGGTAACTAATTTTTTTTGTCAAAAAATATTATATAGGCTGGACTATATGGGGATGTGTGTTTTCAGAGAATGATCCTCATTGTATGCACTAATTTTGGAAAACTTGATAACGCATTCACTCAATGTCCGAGATTGATCCCCATATTCCAATGAAGTTATTAAACTTGTATGATCGCTTTAGCAATTAACCTAACAAGAATTTTGCAGTATTTAAGGTTCTATTAAGAAAATTACTTCCTTAATCTCTACATCTCAAGATAGATTAAAGCTAATGCTTTTGGCTTTATTTTGGTTTTATTTCGCCATTACACATCGATTACCTACGCTAAAACAGAGCGTTTTGTGGGAAGGTGTAATAACTAAAAACGAATTTGGCATATATTGCAATGGATTTGTGAAATCGTAACGAGTAATTAATGGCGATTTGTTTTGCATAATTGAACGTGTTATCAGGTACAATTTGTATTGATTTTAAATTTATTTCGTGAAGCAAAACCACCTTCATTTAAAACATGTGCAAACAGGGTATGTTCGAATGTTAAGCATAGGGAGCTCTGACGCTAGTGTTAATAGAAGGAAATTCCAGCGTTATACAAGTCGAATTTAATGCACTCTTTGTTTTATGGAAAAAATTTACGGGTAGAAGAAATTCGTGATTCGATATTTAGAAAATTTATGAAATCTAAAAGATCTACAATAACTTATTCAATGTTTAGTTTTTAAAATTCACTTTTGCACGATACTTTTTGTTATACCATGCACGATACGATCTCCCAGTGTAGGTAATGCAACAGGCACCGGGCATCCTGACAGCACACGGCATACAAGATTTAAATATTTACATCTGTGATACTAGATTTAATCAATTTTCTAAATATTGAATAACGAATTTCTCTATTTTTTGTATATCAACCATATGTATATTTTGAAGGATGCCGGAAGTTTGAATATGCGTTCAGATACGTAGGTCACGTAATGTCACATATGAAATTATATTTAATAACTTTTTTAGGCTATCATCACAAAAACGTTGATTTTATGGTCGCTTTTGCGGCCATAAAGTTTCACTTTATTGTACGCTTCTGTCAAACTTTACTTTATTGTACACATCTGTCAAACTGTACTTATTTGAAACTGATGTGTGAGAAACAGTAATCTGTTTGATACAAAGCGTCTATCTGGTCTCGCCCCATCAAGGATTGGGCCATCCACGTGCGTTTTTTCATTTTCGGACTTGTAGGAATGTTTCACACCATTTTGCATAATCACAATGTTCACATTTAAAATTATAGTTTGACGTTTCAATCTTTGCTGCTTGCAGACCTTTTTGAAGTGTAGAACCAAAACATGAGGAAGATGTTGTTACTTATATTATTATACGAAGAATCACCAGCAATTAACCGAAAACACAAGTAGCTACCTATACCTACCATCAACGTAGGTAATCAGGTTTCTAATAATTGTACAGCATGTTAACTATAAGGTCTTGGAAGCCACAGTAACGAAGGACCTATTGCATTTGACATTATTAAAATCTTGTGCAGCGGAGGAAGTTGCGATTGTACTTTTACTCTCAAACGCTTGCTCTTATATCATATAATGACTTAGGGTCGCAACGCTTGCAGCTTCCAAAATTTCATTTTGGGTAGGTATCTGAACTGTCGCTATCACCCATTTTGATACGCACAAAACACACGCAAACGATGCTAATTATAATTTATTACATATGACAGGAAATGCTTTGTTTTTAATTGTCTAAGATAACTATGATTTTCAGAAAAAATATGTTTATGAGCAAATTTTTGAATTCTTTTTTGATCGCCTAAAAAATGTTGTGTGCACCTTGGCCAAAAGTGATTTGTTAGGCCTCATCTGAATTGCGGCCTCGGCTACCGCCTCGGCCACAAACAGCAGCTTCGGCCAAAAAAGATCACTTTTACGGCCTTGGTACACAAATAACTATTTCGTATCTCGCCAAATAAACGAGATATTGAGGTAGCCCTCTTATTCCAAACGCGCTGTATGTCCGTTCAATGTTCAGGTGTAAATAATGTTCCTAAGTTGGGCGAATTAACATATAAGTATTGAATTTTTTAACGTAAGCTGGTTCTGTTCTAGGGTAAGTAAGGCAAAGATTGAAGAGCTCGTTTAATCAAATCGCGCTTTAAACGATCCATTGTCTACATCTAATTTGACAGGTATTTCTACATTAAGAAATACATTAAAGACCCGCTTTCATGTATTTTTATATCAACACTGAAACATGCAATGGTGTATATTACAAAGTTGGACGCAATTATGATAAACAATGGTTTATTTTATAGCATATTATATTAAATTGACATTTTAATAGGTTTGAATGAGTAGGCTAAGCCGTTATTTAACCGTAAGGGTAGATAAAGTGATCACTTTAACCGTAAGGGTAGATAAAGTGAAGCAAATGATTGTGCATTCTAATGACATCTGTCATTCTTATTTCAAATGCACGATATAAACTGACGTTCAGAACATATGACAATTCTGTTTCTAGGGAAACGATCGCGACGGCTGAACCTAAGCTTGCTATTTTTGACGTCTCTAAATTAAATTCTGAATTATTGTCAGAAGCTTTACAATTATTTATATGGCTTCTGCTATAAAATAAAGTTTTGTATTATACACAACGATAAAGGCAAACTAACCACCCGTGAATTAACATCTTTCACTCAATGGTTAAAATATCCCTTTATCGTCTTGTACTCGTATAATAAATAACTATAATACACCTTTCCTACCTTTTAACACGTAATTTCACTTTTACAATTAAATAAACAAATTACCAGGCGATCAATTTAAACAAATCTTAAACATTGTCGACGAAGAGCTCTATTTATGTTTTGAGTGTTAAATTAACAAAGAAGAGAAGAATCGCGACTCAAAAAAGTGTATTGTTTCTGTAGGCTATCGATTTCGACGTTTAACAGTCATCATCAGACCGAGCTGGAAGTCTATATTTAATAGGAAGAATTCGGCTCTTCTCTTCTTTGTTAAAACATAACAAATAATTTTTAAAGATCAGAAAATCGTACACAATAACACACCTGCAGCTTTATTGTTCTACAATGTCTTATCAAATTAAATAAAAGCAATAATTTCACATTTATATCTAATAATGGCCCAAATCAACTTTTTATCATAAAGACTCTATTTTAGTATTAGAAGTAAGCTTCACAGAGAAATGTTATAAATGAAGGTGGCCAATCAGAAAATTCTGAATAAAACATCTACACCTACTTTTTTTACATAAAAGTAACGATAATGGCAGTACAAACGGCCAAAATGGATTTGCTTTATGAAATAAATTTCAAATCGATACCAAACCTGATAACATGTTCAATTATGCAAAATATATCGCCATTAATTCCTCGTTACGAATTCACAAATCGACGGCAATACATGCCAAATTCGTTTTTAGTTATTACACCTTTCCACAAAACGCTGTTTTAGCGTAGGTAATCGATGTGTAATGGCGAAATAAAACCAGCCAACGCGTTAGCTTAATCTATCTTGAGATGTGAGGATTAAGGAAGTAATTCGCTCAATAGAACAGAAATACTTACAAAATGTTTATTAGGGTAGACGCTAAAAATTCATCCTTTGTTGAAGTTAATACATATCCCTATTTTTAATGTTTCAATAATAATTTATGAATTAGGTA